ACAGGAAGCCGTATGTAGTACAGAGAACTGTTAACACTACAATACGTTTAAAATTATCAAGAGGATTAAACCTCTGGCCTGGAAGGCAACCAGCAACTGAGTAAAACTTCTAAGGTAAGCGGCCTGCTTCGACTAACTCCTTCCTCTCTCTCGCTTGGCAAAAAACCACAACTTAAGTACTTGGCGTTGGCCAGACAAATTTTGCATAAATAAGTTAACGCTTTTAATTCTGGCCGGAAGTAGAAAATAAGAAGTGATAGTAAAGATTTAAAATAAAATAAACGTTAGTAAAACTTAAGATCCTTACAATTTTAATGTGAAAAATGAAAAATAAATTAACGGTCATCTGTCACGTCGACGGTTTGAAAAGCAGGGACGCGGAAAAGTGGACAGAGCACCAGAACGTCAGTAATATTACAGGTATTGCTCCGCCGCACTACTATACCGTGTACCTACTTATAAGCACAATTGGCCAGCACTAGAAGCGAGTCGTCCAACAAGATATTCCACTATTCCACATATGTTCTTTACAACAATGTTAAACGTTTTCTCACTGAATACGCAATTACATCAATCTCAGTACAAATTATAACATTAATTTGAAAAACAGTAATTTTCAGGTTGCATGGAAAATAGATTAAATATTTTATCTCTTATAGGAAAGATAATCAAATGAAAATCTACATTGTTGTGTGCGTATATGTTCATAATAGATTGAATGCACTCAGAACCGAGGAGAGCTTGATTTTATTTTACTAATAAATTCAGTTCTAGAAGAGTTACGGTTCTAAGACTTCCCACAAAAATACAAAGTACTCGTACAGCTTTTCTCAGTATCACAGAGTTCAGTTATACTACAACTATGAACGTTAAACACAACGCAATGCAAAGTGCATCTAGAAGGCGAAGTTCTTATGGATATCTCAGTACTCCGAAGTTGAGTTAACAACTTCGGAGTACTGAGAGAAACTCAACTTCGGAGTAAGTTGAGTTAACAACTTACAACCTGAGTTAACAACTATTACTGACAAATGTTTAAGTCTTATATAGACTAAACATTCAGCTAAAGCCAACTAGAAAACATCTCCCGTCTTATATAGTTCCCCCCCCGGCCACCGAGAAAGCTGTAGTACCTTATATTTCTTGAAATTATTGGAAGGCGTATACGGTCAAAGTTACATATAGGTATCAATTAGAATGTAAATTAGTTATACAGGAACTTGACCGAAAATTGCCAAATGGTCGCCAACTTTGGCAATTTCAGGCGATTGTTAGCCACATTTGGCGGCAAAAATTATTCGCCAGGGCCATTGTCGTCAACTTATCGATATTTTGCCAATTTAGCGAGATAGCCATTTACTCAATGTTAAATAGATTTGCTCCTATAAACTTATTTTTCCGGCAAAATTTCGTCTCTTTCAAGCATTTCGTGTTACATTATACAGAAAAATACTAAAATTTCACATAAAATTTCTCTAACATTATTTACTTACATACAAAATTCGTAAGAATATATTTGTAAAATATAAAATATCTACCTTTATAATATTAAGTTAACAATATCTATTTATCTGTATTTCCTGTGATTCTCAAAAGTAATCCGTTATCAGATTTTTATTGTGCAATTATTTCTGGAAGGCGATCGAATCTTAATCTAGGATCCGAATATTAATTTGCTATGTATCTGAAAGTTAATTCATTTAATATCAATACTTTTGCAATGTGATCCGAAATGTAATCTGTATAGAAGTCTTTGCTGAGCAATTTCGCTCTCGTTTAGTCACTTCTTTTTGTTCGCTCTCTTTTTGTTTTTGTTTTTCAAGTTTATCGGATATAAAACGTTCTTTAAAAAGAAGGCGCTGTAGCGTAGATTTGATTTGTGTTGGATTAAATAAAAATGTAAGCCAACCGTGAATAAAAAATAAACAATTGAATTCGGCCACTTCCGCACGTTTTTGGTTTATGCACCTATCTACCACACTCAGTATATAACAACCAGTATCTTCTACCAAGTTTCAGCTCAGATGTATGTAATGAATAAGACGCCGCAGAAAGTTGAATCCGTAATGAACAGCAAACTTAGCAGTGGAGGAGGATTAAATATTCATCTTTATTTCAATTGATATTTGCAGTCAATATTTACTTGGCTCTTTGATCGTGACTTTTCAAGAAAATTTACATTTTTGATACTGTTGCGACAGGAAGAGAGCAGAGCGAAATAACATCTTAACGGGAAGTGAGGTAGAAGCTAAAGTAACCAGATATCCAATTCGGAAGCTTGCCAGAAGATAGGCTTGAGTTTTCAAAATGCTAAGTTCCGAATTAGCTACGTCAAAGTTTCGATTTAGATTCCGCATTAGTTATCTCATCAGTCACATGACATGGACTGATCTAGCAATGACTCAATCCAAGAAAGTTACTGCTATTTTTAGAATGGAGAAGGGGAATGAAGGGTTACTGCTAGTTTTTAAATTATAATTTTTATATTTATATACTTTTTATCCTACACATAAACACACACACACACATACATATATATATATTTATATATAATTAAAATATTATACATGTTGATATAGCTGTATGTAATCTGAGAAGCTTTAGAGGAATTTTCCTATGGACAAAATAAATTAATTTGGAAACTTTTATGCATTATCACAAGTTCTTACAAGAAAAATTGTGAGCACATAGCTTTTAATTTTGCTGTGCAGAAAGTGCTTTGTGTTGTTCTCCGTATAAAAGTGTTTATCTACTTTAGTGACTATCATTTTTTTCATAATAACAAATTAAGGACTAGTTACTGACATTTTTTTCGATTCACAAGGAAAGCTATAGCTCGGATACGAATGCGCTATAGCCAACTTTAAAAGCCGTCTATATAAATAATTTTGAATGAGCATTGATTAGGCCAACTGCAATCTTCACTATTCGCAGCATATCTAGACGTGTATTTAAACTGATTTTGAAATGTAAATTATGTTTAATGACAATCCAAAGATGAAATATCTCTTATATTTAATAGTTTGGTCAATACTTATTAAATGTTTTCTCTTTATATAAGTTTTTTATGCTTAATGAAAAGGAAGTAGAATTATAATGATGACAAAACTGCTGATTCAGCATATGCAATTTTAGTTATACCCGGCTTACTACGGCCGAAGGAAGACATCTTTTCTGAGGGTGAAACTTAATGCATTCACTAGACTAATTGTCATTCACACTATCTGTAGTGCATGTAAGCATATTTTAATTTAGCAAGAACATGTGATAAGCGTCCACGCATATAACATACTTGTGATTGCCTAAATTCACCAAATAATACTTTACGTTACAGTTCCGATCATAAAAGTAATCCATAAGGGCAGATACGTTTTTGGGAGATGCTGTAGTTCTTATATAGTACTTTGGTTAGCAGACGAAGCGTGTTGTCCCATAACGGAAAAAAAAATCCAACGCAGTTTTGTTGTGTAAAATTAATCTAAACGTATATATTTTTATATTATGCTCAAAGTTGTTTAAAAAATCTAGAAAATTTCAGATTTTAACGGTTGCCCAAAAGTGTTTGTTAAGGTTTTTAACGCTCTCGCTGAGTCTGCTGCTGCACTCATTACTACTAACCCATTTTGTGTGCGTGCGTTTGTGTCTTTTTAGCTATATTATTAAGCACCCTTTTCTACGCACTTACGCCATATACAATTCAACAGCAAAATTACGAAAAAAAAATGCCCTTAAATAATACGTTTCGAATTCCCAACGCAGCATTAAGTGTGGACATTTATTTTTCTATTTTCTCTCAGTCTTTTCTCAAGTAGTGAAATCAATGTACAGTTTTCCTGCTAAGATGGCTTTAAAGAACTTTCTTTCCTTTTTAGTCTGAGCGTTTTGTGTGTTTACTTTATTTATTAAATATCACGCTCTTGGCGCTACACGTCATAAAATTCGATTCAACAGCAAAATCACGAAATATTAAAAAACAGCATAAAACGCAAGCTGGGATAAAAACGTTTTTCTCCCCTTTTTCGTACAGTATTGCCATTGCTTACCTTGAAATCGTTGAGTTTGCTAATCGAAAATTCGTTAACGTTTTACAGAATATGAAACAGATAATAAAACAAATTCGAAATTCAAAATCCTGGCTTCTAAGTGCCCAAGTTCAAGTGGAGAACTACGTTATTCAAAATTTGATGGCTCCAGGTACCTTTGGTTTTTCACAATGCGAGAAACATACATACGTTCATGAAGATGCTTCATTATTTAATTTCTTTAAATATAATACAGAGCGATAATATTTCGTGGCAAAATTTTAGAAAGTGATACACCATTTATAGTGATCCAACGCAAAATGTCGTTCCGACACTAATATCTCATGCGAGGCTAGAATCACTTTTGGGCTAAAAATAGAGATATTAAGAGAAAATTTTTTATTGTTTTCATTTAAGAAGTAATGTAACTTCAGAGATAAACCCATAAATAATATAAATATGTTATATAAATATAATGACTATAAAAAGAAACTAAAATGATGAATAAATGATAAAATGAAATAAAAGAATTATGGAATAAATTATTAATTAAAGCAAAATGAGTGTGAAAGAAATACAAATTTCAATTATTCGACAATCCAATTTAAACAAAAACTTTTATATTAATTATATATGTCTACAAGTATGCAGTAAATGAAGACTGGGAATAAATATGTTTTCTTCTCCTTCTTTTCAATATTTCGCCAAGTCGCTGCTATAGTTTTCGCCAAGACAAATTTAAAGAAAAAAATTTAAACGCATAACGCCCGCAGTAAATAACTGGATATGTCAGCATGCAAGTAATTAGGTCGAGAATGAGCCGTCTTCTTTTTCCTTCAGTTCTTTCTATCCCACTGTTAACTTTTCAGCATTAAACTTTTGGCTCACTGAAGAGAGGGAAAAATATATTTTAAATCAACACTCCGTGGAACCAGTTTTAGCTTTGAATCAGAAACAAGAAACAGTGAGTGTCCACGAAAGTAGGTTCCACTTTGTTTTGCAGTAAAGCGGAGAGGGGGAGATAATTTGACTTAATATGTGTTTCTACCACTCGCAGTGAATCAGACACATTACTAGAAATAGTTAAGTATTTATTTTTACTGTAATGCTTCGTATTGTTTGCATAGTGCATGCAGGTTAATAGTTAGATTGCATAAGCCTGAATTTTCTAATTTTCCTGGAGAATTCTTTTGCATGTTTCTATCTGCAATTAGAATACATAAAACGTGAAGATAAAATAAACATTTTCTTTCCAATTTTAGACTTTGGAATGATCTCAGTTAAAAAAAAATAAAAGTAAAATATACTACATGAAAAATTCAGTTTTCCTCTTCCCCCCCCCTTTAAGTAAATATTCACAAACAATTCTGATCGAGATGTGATAGCAAAAATTTCAAAATTACCTTCTAAATTACTTAGATTTTTTATATAGTACCTGTCAATTTAAATTTTAGCTATGAAAATAGAAACTGTAAACCAATATTTTGCAAACAATCTGTTTTATTTTTTGTTGATAAATAGTTAATTTCTGTAGTTTCACTTCCTAACGTGCTTTTCATAAACGTTAAATTTTTAAATATTACTTTGTAAGTCTTCAAAATTAAATATAATTACCTGTTAACTACACCTTATTTAAGCTTCCTGCACTTTGAACGAATTCTCATCTTTTCTCTTAGCTAGAACTCTAAATTCAAAAACGCACACACAAAAGGAAAACTTAATAAAAAAAAGTTTATTAAAACTGCGTCTTGCAGCTACAGCAAAATTTATCCATTGCTACTTATAGATATGAAAAATGAAAATGTTTAAATATGAATAACTAAACAAATAATATCACGTTTGAAGACCCCGCCTTCATTTGCCCTCAAACTGTAGGTCAAAGGAAATGCAAGAAATCGGCCCCTAAAGCAAGATTGGCAAAAAAGTGGACAGCTCACGAAATACTTTGCTTTCTGGTGCGTTGCCAAAGTCTTAACAGCACTCGCTTACTGTTTACACTCCAACTAATTTTTATTCTGATAAAAGCTAATGGAAGAAGCAAAGTTGCAGATAAGAATTTACATAAAAAAACGTTTTCTTTAAAATAAACTTTGTGCTTTTTCGCTTTCACTGATAAAACTCCAAATATTGGGATCAAATGAGTCAGTAACGGATATTCGAAGAATTCGAATAATTGAATTTTTTTTTCTGTAGACCAAATGAATATTACTATAGTATTGCAAATGATATAATTTTATTTTTTCTTCGTAGAATTTTATTTCAGTAAAGGATCTGCATTAAGAAATGCATTATACTTTATATTTAAGTTTTTTTTATCGATTTTAACAAAGCATTTGAGTGCTAGAAATGTTTTCATTGTGCATTTTCTAAGTGAATCTGTCTGGTTTTAACGCTACATACAAGAAAACTGCAAAAATTCCACGCAGGCCCACTGCTAATTATCTTCTCCTCAAAACCGTACATGCGACTTAATATATAAAATTACCAAACCAACAACCTTGTGTTTGGCATATATTTAGTGAAGAATTCAACTGATTTCGAGGTCAAAAAAGGTTAGGAAGGATTAAAGTCATTAACTAAACAAGATAAATTTTTGTGAAGATGAAAAGCTTTAAGAAAATCTAATTCACCAAGGGAAGAAACTTTTTGGATCATTTTTGCGGATCCAAAGTGAAAATTATAATTAAATTACCAAGTATGATAAGATATCGAAAACTTGTTAATTTCGCCGTTTCGGACATAAGATTCGTGTTTGTTAATCCGAAACTTTAACGCTTTTTAAGTTTTGCAGATATATCTCAATTCACACTGACATGAGATACCATAAATTCCGAAAGATTTAAAGTCAGGAATGGGATTCTTTAAGAATCGAACTACAGATATTGATAGACGAGAAAACGACTTAAAAACTGAACATCTGGAGCAGTGCTCCACAACCGGTGTGCCATGAGTAGGATATAGGTGTGCCGCAATCAAATACATGTATTTGACATTTTGCAATTTTTTATCATGTATTTAATACACAATGACAATTTTTTTCCTTAATAATGTCTATTTTAAAGGTTTTTATATATTTCACTGTTGTGTGGTTGTGTGTGTGATTGTACGTGTGTCAGCATTTGAATTTTTCGGCACTTCCTTGATAACTCGGAACTCTTTGATGTGCCACGAAATTCCAGAAAGAATGTGCGTCTCACGTGAGAAAAGGTTGCGGAGCACTGATCTGGAGAATCAAGGCAATTTTACAACTGACAGAAAGCTGAAATGGAAGCACGGAAAGCTTGTTAATGTTATTTCTAACAGCGAAATGTCTTCTTTGATGGCAAGCTGAAAAATGTTTTAAATGCTTTATAAATAACCACGGGAGAAACTCCTCGGTCTGTGGCAATTGGATAACGAGGAGATTTATGGTCTCTTTGTATCTTCTTATCAAAAGCAATATATCAGCCACTAGAAGAGAGGTGTAAACAGAGTAGTAGATCAGCAATAATCATGTCTACGGATTTTATTTTGTAAGAATGTGTTTTACATATTAATGGTAAACAATCTATCACCTTTGAAATGTTAAAATACACATGGCAATAAATAATAATTACTTGCCCTATGGAGAAAAAAAACCAGATGTGGTCAGTACATGACCTGCTGCTAATTCCATTTTGATCAACAACGAATGTTAAGCAATGAGTATCACTTCCGGTTGATCGTTTGTAAAGAAAATCTAATTTGTTGTTATAATAAATATAAAGGTTTGTAACGAGAAATTGTGGACTATGTTTTATTAGTATAAATGACCCTGTATAAAAACTAGTTTTTCTAAATTTATATTAACCCAATCAAATATTTGCTGCTTTACTTCTTTTTATTAAAAATTGCATTTTCTTGGGCAGTTGAATAACATAAAATTTAATTGGATTTTTAACTGAACAAAATTAGATACTTCTAATATATTTAAAATAAATATTTTGAAGCGAATACCATAATTTAATTCTCTTCTTCTATAGTATCAAGCCTATTCATATTCTATAGTATCTATAGTATGTGTTACTTCTATAGTATCAAGCCAATCTAAATTCATTTTAATCTGCGCAAATATCCCTAAGTGAACAATGTTCAACCAGCAAACAGTGTTCTTTTATTTCTGGAATTAGAGCTGAAGAGCGACTATCACGAGTTGCGCGATCAGTAAATATAGTTAAAGCAATAGATGTTTTTTAGTTAGTTGTTCTTATGCCTTTTCATCATCAGTATTATCCCGATAGAGTGCTAAGGGTTGCCATACATTTTTTTTTATATTAGCTATATTATTTCTTTGAAAACTAGTTTTTGAAGCTCTAGGCACAATTTTCCTCTAAGATTTCAGAATGCCTGGAACAGCGTTGTAGATACAGCTCTGACAGCCAGCAATCAGTTAGAATCTAATTGTCCATAAAGATGAATATGAAATCCTTTCTATGAAAGATGCACCAAGGGCATCCCAAACAAAGACCAAACAGGACAGCACTAATAAATTTCAGTACCCTAGATGTTGTGATAAATTCCAGCGAATTTCATCAAGCACTGCAAATTCAGGTGTTCTCAAATCATTGACTTGTTTGAGAAAAATCATATTTTTGATTACAAAGGAAAAATTAAAGCTCCGAATAAGCATGAAATGAAAGTCTTCGCCGCAGATGCGCATAGTTAGGTCATGAAGTTCCAAGCCCCACAGGAATCGGGTGCCACACTTACATTCTCCCGGAAAATAAGGATATTAAAGTAGCCATTCGCAGCCTTCCTACAGACCATCTACTGGTGAATATACAAGATAACTTCTGTTTGAAGAAGAGAGAGTCAAGAGAGTCTCAGTTTCTCCAGAGAAAATATGGCAAGTTAACTCCTCCACCTCTCTTCTTAATCAAACTTGAGATAAAGGATAACTCACAACTAGCCTATAATCTCCAACACCTGATGCATTTGAGGATCAAAGTGAAGTTGTACTGCGGAAAAGAGGGCCCACGCAAAAGAGGGCCCTTTCTGTTGTGTTCGTTGCGTAAAGACCCATGAATCGAGGACTGCTCAAATGACAAAGCAGAACTCAAATGTGCCAATTTCGGAGGATGTACGTAACTATTTACAGAGGTTGCTCCTCCTTTCCCGAATCCAAATTCGGTAGAATTATTACTACTAAATCTCATGGATATCCTGAAAGAATCATCACCAGCAAGACGTACCTGGAAGCTGCCAAATCCTTGGGCTCTAAACACTCAGGACAAATAAATGAGGCAAAGAAGACTGTGGATGCTATATTTGCTGCTCTAGTGAAAATCAAAGAGTGAAGACTAATAAATTTTACCGAAACACTGCTCAGAATAACTATGAATGTTCAGGCATAACATAAATAGAAACTGTTTTTATAACTGCTCTCCGAGTAACATTTCTCTGTAGAGTGCAGAGTATTTTCATCAAAAAACATGAACTTCAAGTCTTCTTGATGGATAATGCAACTGACAGTTACTTTATCTGGAAAATCCGAAATAAGTATTCTTTCCCTCCTGTGCTTATAATGTTATTTTAAGTTTATTTTGTGTGCTATTATGTTAAATTTATTATTATGCTACATTTTAGCGCAACTTTTATATCAAGAAAATTATGTCTCTATAAGCGCATGTAAATATTCTCATCAAGTTTTTTCCCATTTATCCAGTAACACTGTACTTAATAACATTTGTTCAACTAGCTATATAGGCGTTACATATACAGTACTCTAGATTGCATTATGAAATTTGTTTTCTTTTACATAATCGAAGCTCTGGCTTTTCCTGTAGATGTTTTTGTAAGCAAAATGCCTCCACTTCCTTCACTAGCTTTCATAAATAAATACCTATAAATGAGTTCCCTCCTCATTTATAGGACCCACAACTCAGAACGCTACAAAATCAGGCCAGCTCATTGAGGCGTAAATTTAGTTACGTTAGAAAACTCCAGTAAAGTAAATCTTTTAATCTTAGTATCCAGTCGAAGCAAATATTTAATTGTTATTCAGTTTTGAGCGATTTCAGTAAGACTGTGTTTCAAAAATAATTAGCTGGACTCTATTTTAAAG